AATTTTTTTTTTATTATTTATTTTTTTTTTATTTATTTCTTTTTTTATTTATTTATTTATTTTTTTTATTGGTGATCCGCTTTATTTATTTATTTTTTTTTCTCGAGCGGATCACCTCTTATTATTGTCCGGATCATCATCATTTTTTTTTTTCTTCGATCAATCAGGCTTGGTCTGGAATATTCACAGTAAGCTTTTCAACGCGCTCAGTAATGCGTGACATCATCTAGGCGCAATTTTGCGTTTTTACATTATCGATCATATTAGCCTAACCAATTGCAATTTCGAAATCGTATTAAGTGGGCATTAACTTCAATTTAATGTTGAATGTAATGTTTCAAAATGCTCGAAATCACTTTTGACTAAATTAGAACACGTTTTAGGTCATTCTGAGCATTTCAACATTTCCTTAAATTTTCCACTACACGCGCGAATTGTTACGCACGCAGCAGGTACGGAAGCAGAAAATGTTTTTTTTTTAAATGTTTTAGGTTCCTAACATTGTTTTCACAAACTTTGATTCTTTACGGTCATCTTATGGACAATATAAATGTCTTACGTCAGGGGCGGATCCAGAGATGTCTAAAAGGTGGGGGGTGCCGAAAGGGGGGCCTAAAGTTGTGCCGGTCGAGACAACGCTGTCTTATGGGTCCGGGGGCATGCCCCCGCGAAATTTTTGTGTTCTAAACGCCCAAAAATAACATTCTGGGCTTATATTTTTTTCCTTTTCTTTATTTTTTTCTCTTGTTTTTTTTATCTACCAAAAGTTCCCCCTCCCTAAATCCGCCCCTGTACGTGCTCATCAAACATAGGGATGTTTGCGCGCTTTTGTGCCGATATACAGTGAAAATATGCTAAAACTAGGCCTATATTTAATCAGTTATAGCTCCATAGGATGAAAGGTGACAATTTTTATTACATATTCTGAAAGCACATGAGTTGTAGATATGATTTTATAGCTCATAATGGCTGATCGGACATTGTGACGTCATCATATTGCCATCTGAATTCAATAAAACTGAGTTATACAGATGACGTCATTTTTGAAAATATGCATTTGACCGTATCTCGCTTATCCTTGATCGATCGTCTTCCAACTTTGACTATGTTATAGCTGAGACAATTTTCTTTCATATATGAGAGTTCTTTTTACATTTTGATGACGTCATCATGGTCCAAATAAATGTTGTTGCTGACTCCCTTATCTTTCTCTCCTAAAAAATTTGTTAACTCCATAATCATCTTAAACAGTTGTCATTTCTGAATCATATTTAGTGGGCATAAACTTCAGTTCACGTTTAAATGTTATGTACCTTACTTTTCTGTGCGCGCATAATAACGCGCGCGTTCGCGTGCGTCAAAATTAAAATATGCCTAATATAATGCCTTTTTTATTCAGTTATAGCTCCATAGGCTAAAAGAAGACCCCAATTTTTATTACTTATTCTGAAAGCACATGAGCTGCAGATATGATTTTATATATCATAATAGCTGATCGGATATTTTAAAGTCATCATATTGCCATCTGAATTCAAAAAAATGAATTTTTATATAGTATGATAAATATTATGAATGATAATATACTTCATCAACAACAGGCGTTTGTCAATGAAAGTTGATACATATATATCTCATATCAGGAGACAACATTCTGTGACATTAACATGCGCACGTGTGTCATGACGTGCGCGTACGCATGAGGAAATCTTTTAAAATGCTACAAATTCGTTTAAAAAAAACTGAATTAGCGTATACCTAAGCTATTTTCAGGATTTAAATATTGTTCAATCAGCACCGCGCACACTTCCTCGCGGGTCAAAGTGCGGCGGATCACATAACTCGTCCTCAGTGACGAGTTCAAATTTAGTTTTATTTTATGTTTTTTATTTTGACAAAATGATATTTAATGTCTTGGTCTAAATTTTACTGTAACTCTTTTTGTGTGTGTGTGTGATTTGTTTGTTTGTTTGTTTGTGTTTTTTTTTTTTTTTTTTTTTTTTTTTTTTTTTTTTTTTTTTTTTTTCTTGTTGTTTTGTTTTTTTTTTTCCCGTGTCCTCTTTCTTTGCTTGCTTTTCGTGTCTCCTAGGTCTGTGTTTTTTTTTTCTTTCTCCTGAATTTTTCTGATCTTATATTTTATTTTGTACCAAATAGAAAATGAACAAAAAAAATGTCACTATGTTATAACTACCTGTTATAATGCTATTTAATAAAATATATGCTAACTATAAATTAATAATTATGTATTTTTTTAAATAATATATAATAGGATGAGGAAGTACAACATCCACATCCAAGTGTGCTTCTACCCTCTTTTGTACAAACAGCATCTCAGCCCACCACAAGTTTAAACCAATTGCAAGGTTAGTCTACATTAGATAGTCCCTATTTTTGGTGACCCAAGTAGGACTACATGTGTTGTGATTTTAACACTGTTTAAATGCAAATAAGATGCACATTATTTAATGTTTAAAAACTGGGAGAAAATGGACAAGACGATGTATAAAATTCTGCAATATAAACTGAATAATTGTTAGCGTTAAAGCTAGAGGCGAAAGTTGGTAAGTGAGAATGAATAGGCAACGTGAACAAATCGTGATATTACACTCACTTTTACGAATTATCCAAATTTTATATAAGCTAACCAGTAGACCTATTTTCTGTGCTAATATGAAACTCAAAATCCGAAAAAAAAAAACAAACAAAAACAAAAACAAAAATAAATTGTGGGCGACAGCTTATAGGATTTGTTGTTTTGAGTGAAGGGGTGGTGGCGGGTATTTGCCGAAAAAATATTGTATTTTAAACTCCTTGACATCACGCAGATACGCCACAGATGCCTCTCCGAAAAATGCTGGCAGCGGATTTAGTAGCGAAAGATGACTGTTTGCCCCCCCCCCACATCTAAATATTAATATTTAGCAGCTATAAGCAAAACTCTGTTAAAGTGGGGAGAAAATCGCACTCAAACTCTCGATTAAAGATACAGAATTTGTTAATCTAATTGAAGCTTTTACCTAATTCGAATATTTCGAACAACAGCACTCAATAGAGAGCATATCTCCGACCACCCAAATCCCTTTTTATAAAATAAATCTCCGAAAATATTTTCCTATTTTACTTCAACCACCTACAATACCACACCAACTCACTTCGTTCCAATCCTCTTCAAAAATGCACACCAGCTGCTCGCAAAACAATTTTTATCTTAAAGAGGGGCACAATTTTCAATTTAGTATTAAGTTTTTAGCGGTCTTCCTTTTTTTTTTTTTTTTTTTTTTTTTTTTTTGAGTGGCCACTTTCAGATTTTGTTATCCGAAATGAATTCACCAAAACTCACGGTCGGCCAACTTGTCACTACACATGTTAGGTTTTGAACACAGAGTCCAAGCAACATATAGTATTGAAACATTTTATTTTTAACTACTGAAGCCGTAAAAAAATTATGACAACTCACTTACTTCCCAACCACCACATACTTTAAAAAAAATACACTAACCGGATAACTGGAAATGCCTGCCAATTCCTTACTTCTGGTTAAACAGACAGGAACATTTTACTTTTTTAGTTGACAAAACAAATACATGCCAAGTATAATTAGTGGTTCTTATCGTCATTTTTTTCAAATATAAAGATGCATTAAAAACATTCCCAATTAGTTCCCAAAAACTGAAGTTATTACATATAAAACTTTTTACACATTAACTGTAATTGCACTAATTTGAATATTAATCACATAACTATTGTTATATGCCTACGGTATATGGTAAACCTATTTTTAAAAAGGTCCTCATATCCACAACCTAATTTGAATTGTTACAAAAATGTAAAAACTTTATTAAAACATGACAAACTCTTTTGGAAAACGTCATTTTGATACATTGACCCACTTTCGAGACATTTAGTCTGGAACTTAATCGCCCTTAAATGCACATCCGAATTTGGATGTCACCAACACTTCATAATGTCTTCCTTGTAACTTGATTAAACTTTCACGTAAGTTTAATTTTGATTAGTTTTTGAAATATTTGGTCTGGAAAATTTTTCTTTGAATGGTCCACATATCCACACTCTCTTCCGGAGGGTAACTAAAATTTAAACATGCTTCATCGAAACTATTCTGTGTAGTTTCATTTAGAACGATTGATTACTTTGAGAGATATTTAGGTCTCTGGGACCTTAAAATTTTGAATGACCCTCAAATTCACAGCTGAATTTGGAATTATCACAATACCTAATAATTTCTTCCTTGTAACGTGGTTAAAATTTCACGAAACTTTAATTCATATAAGGGAAGCTTTTTAAATATCTGGCGTAGAGTGTTTGCTCCTAAATCCCTGTAATTCGTCTTCACACCCACTTTACGGAACGTCACCAAAACTTAATTTCTTCATTGGGTCACACCTAACACTCCCTGGTATTATCATTTATGTCTGTGCAGCCGTTTTTGAAATAATATGAACACAAAAACCACACATAACTGAAAAATGTGACAAACACACACAAACATACACGACTGAAAAACATATATCTCATCGCGAAGATAATAAAAGCAGTAGCAATAATTAAGATGACAATGACGGTAACGATGACGATGATAATAAAATTGAAGCATACTTTAATATATATTTATTTTTAGCATTTTTACCTGGACAGCAAGGTACCATTTTTTATTTTTGTGTACAACATTCATTAGTTATATTACCACCCTAATCATATTTATGTTCAGATTCTTTATTCATGGTCGCATGCACACACACATGATATTCTTTTTCCGAGTGATACATTCAGCTAAAAACAAGTTACTGCACAACAATAAAAACTATACATTAAAGTATACAAACAAAGAAGCAACAAAAGAAAAGAAAACATCATCGATGTTATTAAAATATTTCATTATTATTATCGATGTAAAAAGATAAAAATTACAACTTGATTTGATTAATTTGAATAGGAAAATTTTATTTAAAAGTTTATTAATTTGAGTAATCTAATAATCTAGTAAAAACAAGATATCTATAAAAATCTATATTGAAGTCTTATTGGACTAGGAAAGAATCAGTTCCTGTATTTGCTGTTCGAATTAATTGTTGGCACAATTCGTCCTGCTCTGCTAACATTATATAAGCGTATAAAAGATGTGTAACATCTTTTGGAAACACTTTTCATCGTAGCTTCTTTACAGGTACACTTCTTATCCTTAACATTATTAGGTGCAGATCCAAAGGGGGAGGCAAGCCGGCCCTCCCCACCCCTATTTTTTTTTAAATGAAAAATGGAATACTATAATCAAATTTAGGTCTGAGTGTAATCTAGAGGTGTCGTAATTATAAATGTTTGTTACAGACGGCAGTCTAGACCACCTCAGCCAAACTATGGTTGGAGGTGAGGTGGTCTAGACTTTCGTAGAAAATTCCGGCCGGGGCCCTCTATTTTGAATTCCTGGATCCGCATTGATGTGGCCTAATAGTTCTGCAGCATATAATTTTGCATATTCTATATTCGTTTCTTTTATTTTTAATCAATAAACCACTATACTACAAATAGTAGTGACTGGATCATGATCTGGTAGAATAGAAAGAAGGTATCCATTCCAACATTTTTTACGGAGAAAATAAAGTTGCTGTTTAGCCATGGTTCATAATTTATTTTGCAATTTATTCTACACACACCTAATGAAGATTACAGTGAATATTGGTGAATACTATGTATGTATTTTGTTAGTCCAAAATTTGAAAATATTGATCATAATAAATATTACTATTAGTTTTCTTTTTAATCTAAGTGATTAATTGTTGGAAATGGTTTAAAAATTGAACAATTTCTAATAAACTCGGTGCAAAATGTCTATAATTTTTTGTTTAGCTATAACTGTCTTTGCAGCAGGGCTATATAGAAAAAATTTGAGTGATTAAAATAAGATAGTGTTTTTTCCCCCTTTTTTTTTTTTTTTTCAGTACCAGAACCAAGGTTTACAAGAATGATAGAAGACATCTCAAAGAACAGCCGTGAAGACATAAACATATGGAAAGTAGCCCTCAAAGATCACATTAATGACGTCAGTATATTAGACAAAGCTGAATGTGCAAAACCACTGTTAAATACATTAATAAGAGGTTCAGTTCTAGAGGAAGGGGATGTAAGCATCATATTAGAGACCATAAAACTAACAGGTGCTTTGCATTTGAAGAAATACATCCCCAATTGCCCACCACCTGAAAATATAGTAATCACTCACTTTACAAAATTTAGGCAATCTGTTATTGCTTTCGGAATGAAACTCAATAGCAATGATGTTGAGTTGATTGCAGAGAGTTATAATCGCCGTTGTAAAATTAATCGTCAGTACAATGATAAATGGTCACTGATACGGGACTTGGAAAGAAATGCCATATTAACGGATGATACTACTTCTTTGGATGGTTTCAAATCTGACTTAAATATGCTGGGACTGCAGGTATTAAGTAAATTGCTTGAAAAGAGTTAAAATGTATTTCATAGTCATCTAATCCCAGCATACATCCATGAATTAATAATAAATCCATTTCAACAAGATATTTCGTGTCAGCGAATAATCGATCTTAACTCAAAACAGAAGATTTCACGCTATTATCATTGCCTAGAGGTTTTCACCACTCCAAATTTGTTAGGCAATCAAGATAATTAACACAAGTATCTAGAATGACCCCCTGGGTAGGTTCTGATCATAAGAAAACCTTGAAAACTTAAAATCTTGGTAATTTGAACTCATAGAGCACATGGACCACATTTTATCACAACAAAGTTTAAAAATGTACAGCACCAAAACAATGCTATACCATTATAGTTAGAAAAGTGATAATGTGATATAAGACTGCTACTACTCCAGAGAGCAGCCACATTCCTATCGTAATACATTGGGAAAAACTTGCAAAAAGAAAAATATTAAGTGATTGTAAAGAAAATTTAATACGTGTATATAGATCACATTTTGTCACAACAAAGTACTATATGTAGATCACAAAATTTAAAATCTTACATAATATCGGGTCTGGAAGATAATGTAAGACGCCTACGAAATACTCTTTCCACTAGCAACATTCCTACCATAATTCAATATTGACGACGTTATTTTACTTTCAAATGATAATGTCAATTTTGTGTATATTTCATGGAAAAATACATCTTTAATAAACAGCAAAATGTGTTTAGTTAATATGTTAATTACAGTAGAAATTTGAAGTTTTATGATAACGTTTGCTATGTCGGTGAACAACCAAGTGTTTAGTTAGTATAAAGACTTCAGCAGGAATTTTAAGTTTCATAATGTTTGTTGTGTGAATGGACAACCAAGTGTGTTTAGTTAGTAGGCCTATATTAGTTTTAGTTGAAATTGTAAGTTTCATGATAAATTATGTTGTGGTAATGAACAACCAAATGTATATTAGTTTCAGTAGAAATTTTAAGTGTCGTGATAAAATTTGCTTTGTTAATAAACAAAAATGTTTTAGTTTAGTAAAAAAATATAGAATTGCTTAATGTGTCTTTATAGAAAACATTAGGCAGTAGTAAACTATATTGGTTGTGGTAATTCAAAATTATTACTGTAGATATGTTATCTTAAGCACATTGTGTAAACTTTTAATATGTAATAAATGGTACACTTTTATACTAAGGATTAGAATTTCCCATAGTTTGGATCAGTGGTGGCTCTAGGATATATTTTCTGGGGGAGGGGGCTAAGTTGTCCGACAGGGGGATTGAGCTCGTAGGCTCGCGGAAGAAGGGGATGAGTGGGGGTTCCCCTCCTAAACAAGATTTTTCTTTTAAGAGCAACCTCTGGATGGCCGGAAATGGCACTCTCAGACTATGATAGACATTTGTTGGCTTGCTGTTGGCCTATTTTTATATGTTTTATGGTCTGACTGCCCGACGAGCTCTGTCCGGCAAGGGGGGGGGGTGGGGCTTGACCTGTCTGGTGGGGGACCTTAAACCCCCTGTCCCTTCGCTGGCGCCGCCACTGGATAGGATACATTATTGTAGAACTTTACTTTTTGGGAGTTGTCCATACTTGACAGCGGTAGTGTTTATAAGTAAATTTGGTATACTTAGATTAGTATGAAGTATTTTCTTTTTAGGTATGTGTTCAATCGATGTACAAACACAACTTTATTAACAATACAGGATATAGGAGCGATGATTTGCCACCTTACCTGACGTATTATCGTACCAAATACTCAGTACGTTCCAAAATCGCAAGTGATTTGGGTAGGATCGAACCCACGACCTCCATATAACTAGCCTATGTAATAAAAGGATAACTGTAGAACTGTTTCATTGATAGTCCACCAAGCACAATGAATGTGAAATTACTGCAATGTTATCAACATGACAATAATAATACGCAAACCAAGTAAAGCTATTCAAATAAATAAGATAATTTGAATAAAACTACCAACCACAAACCATTATGACACAGCAATTTACTCAGGGTGACATAAACGCCCCATTTAAATCTTTTACAGCCTCAAAACCCCATTTATGGATCCTAATTGCAGATTTGTATACAAATTTTAGCACATTTTTCATGCTGATCGATCTCCTATTCTTTCAACATTTTTGAAGTCAATTCATTGTGGTGTTCAGGGCGGGTGTAACTTAACTTTTGTGAAAATTACGTGTCGCCACCTGCAAACGTTGATGAAAGCGATTAGTTTTGTATGTTTAGTGGTTAGTGTTATACCCACAGTGAATAAAACCCCTAAGAAACTATAGATGAAGTAGTTTTTATTTTGTCTTTGAAGCAAGACCATACCAACTCGAACTGAAAGTAAGGCGATTTATATTGTGTGTGCATGTGTGTGTGGGTGGGTAGGTGTGTGTCAAAACCTTAGTGTGAGATGAAAAAGAGTTACGATTTTAACATTTTCCCCCATTTTTTATTGACGGATGTGGTTCTCATCACAAGAAATAGGGCATTCCATAACGTTGGAAACATAATAATTCAGCAGCGGGACAACCACCACTTACATAATAGATAATATAATATAAGTATATAGTAATTGTATATTATTAGGAAAACAAAACAAAAAACAGCAATTAGACAGTAACAAAAGAATTAATAATTTCAATGTTGATACTTAAACATATTTAAAAAACAAATAAAAAGCTCACGTATAATAAAATCTGCCAAGAGCTCTCAAAAACAATCAATTTGGAAATATTGCTTCTCTATTATTTCTAGTTATTAATATAAATTCAAATTCAAATTGAATTTAAAAACACCCCCAAAAAGAACATCAAAAATGCAGAAGAAAAACAAATATCACATAAAAAAAACTTTGCACCAATCCATATCTATCCAAAAAAAAAATCATGGAATGGAATCACAAGCAGTACCAGTAAATAACTGGTATGACATTAAAAAGGAGATAAAAATCCTCTCCAGTAAAATTTCCAGAATAATGTAAAATAGTAGTGATACTGTTTAAGATTCCTTTACCGAGTAACTCCTTACAATGTTTGTTTTGTTTTTTGTTTTTTTTGTTTTTGTTTTGTTTGTTTTTTTGCTTTGCTTTGTTTTTTGTTTTTTGTTTTTTTTTTGACGTGGAAGTGAGTAATGTATATCAAGACAAACTTTTAGTGATGTACTCGTTGACAAATGCAATTAACTTCTGTAGCCCTGTAATACTATTGCTTATTATTAGAACATCATCAGTATAACAAGAAACATTCAAAGATGTTTTACTAACTTTTGCGCCACATTCAAGATTATTTAAACAAGTGATCTCTTTAAAACATATTAAAAGTTAATGGAGAGGAAAAGCCTCAACTGAAATCAAATTACTTAAAGAATTATTCCATTTAATATGAACGGTAAGATTGGTGTACCACCGATAAAGTAACATCCAGCAATCATTTGACACGTAGTTTGCAAGTTTAGAAAATAAGATGCTGTGGGAAATAGCATCAAAAGCACCCTCCGCATCAACAAAACATGCGTAGACCGGAAAAACATTATTATTACATTAAGTTATTACATAATTTTACCGTATCTACAGCCATAGTGGTCCCACGCCCAGCCACAAAATCATACTGCGCTTGATCTGCCACAATATTATAGCACGGTTCAAGAAAGCAAAGTTCCATATTTTGCAGATTGTCTTAATATTAGTATATAATTTTTTAGTTGAGATGGATCGGACTTGGGCTTTTTTAAGAATTGGTACAAAATTGCCATCCTGAAACGCCTTATGAATTATACCATTCCTAACACATACATTGAAATTGATGGAACCCTACTTCCACATGCATGCTTTAAGTGTTCGGCCGTTACACCATCTGGCCCTCGGGAGCAGAACCCGAGCGAAGACGTTTAATAAGTCGAACAACGTATTTGTGATTAAAAACATGATAATTAAAACTTGAAGATGAAAGAGAGTTGAGGTTATTATTAACAAATAGGTCAGCAGTCTCATTAGATGTACACCTAGAATTAAACATACCACTAGAGAACTCATTTAGTGATGCAATATCGATATCTGTATTTGAAGACCTCTTTTATTTTATTTTTTTATAGCATTCCAAAATACTTTTTTTTTTCCTGCGAAAAATTATTAAAGTTTTTAAATTTCTTATTTATAACATCTTGAAAAGAATTCCTACATGTATTCTTATAGCATTATTTGGCATACTTATAAATACCTGTCCAGTACGTGGACGACCACATTTTTCAAGATGTTGAACCAGAATCGTTATCACGTGTAAGAGTACACGATATTCAAAATATTCAATAGAATAATTGGGGAAAAAAAAAATCAAACTCTCTGGAAATAATAATGTTCTCCCGTCCAGGGAGGTTTCGTACTTCGTATCGATGCGAAGATCACATATTTGTTTTTAAGAGTATAGCTACTTTGTTTAGTATATTTATTAATAAATTTAATATCATTTTAAAGTCTAACAATTTGGGTACAAAAATTAATGACACATGAATCGGTAGTTTATTTTGGGCTGACGACATTGTACTCTTAACTGATAATGAAAATGAAAAGTATGTTAGAGCTTGCAGGGAATTTTGCAAAGGAATGGAAAATGAGTGTTAATTTTGAAAAATCAAAAGTATCAATAACTGGTAAACATAATAACAAAGTTAAGAAATTGAAACTAGGCGAAGGTTCCATATCAGAAGTCAACTGAAATTAAAACCTGAACCTGAAAATTACCTCATTGACAAAATTGATTTGAAGGAATTGCATTAAATTCAAACTTAGATCTAATACCTTACCATTAAACAAATAGAACTACTTCAAAATGGAATCTGGATAAGAAATGTAAATAATGTAATCATAATTCTGATGAGGATAGCAACCATATTTTTTGTTTAGTTGTCCGGATCTAAATAACAATCGCATTACACATGAGCCGGTAGTTTATTTTGGGCTGACGACATTGTACTCTTAGCTGATAATGAAAATGAAAAGTATGTTAGAGCTTGCAGGGAATTTTGCAAAGGAATGGAAAATGAGTGTTAATTTTGAAAAATCAAATGTATCAATAACTGGTAAACATAATAACAAAGTTAAGAAATTGAAACTAGGCGAAGGTTCCATATCAGAAGTCAACTGAAATTAAAACCTGAACCTGAAAATTACCTCATTGACAAAATTGATTTGAAGGAATTGCATTAAATTCAAACTTAGATCTAATACCTTACCATTAAACAAATAGAACTACTTCGAAATGGAATCTGGATAAGAAATGTAAATAATGTAATCATAATTCTGATGAGGATAGCAACCATATTTTTTGTTTAGTTGTCCGGATCTAAATAACAATCGCATTGCCGAAAAGTATAACCCAAACTAAGATTTAGTCCAGATTGTATTACAAATTCCGTAATGCAAATGAAAAAACTAAATTTAAATATATTTGGGATGTTGAACCTATCAACAGTGAATGTGAAGATATTTTTGATAGATTAATATGCAAAAGGTATATTAAAAGGGCATAGAAACTGTGAAATGAAATTATAAATTACATGCCCTAACTGGAACTATACGTATCTTAATTTATTTTATTTTTTAAGTTATTTATTTAAACGATTGTTTTCTTTAGTTTCTACATTGCTATATGATATGAGGGTGTAAAAAATGAAATTACAGAGAGAATGGGTACAGTAGATTAAAAAAAAAATTATGATGTGGATGCTACTAATAGATATAAGTATGACTTTGTAGCGAGTACGGTAATTTTGTTTTAGTATAAGTATTTTATAGTGTTAAGTTCCCTTTTTTTTTCTCTTTCGTAGGAGTTTAACCCACTTTTATTTCTTTCTCTTTTTGTTACTTTTCTTTTTTTTTCTGCTTCTAATACATATTTAAAAGAGAAGGAGTATACAAAATAAAAACAATTGCACTTAGGAGGGGTCAGTCCACAATGGCTGACTATCTTTCTTTTTTTTTTTTTTTAACATCCTTCCACTTGTAATACTTTCTAAATATTTTTTACCAAGATGTAATTAACATTATTAACATCGTACATTAAAAAGAATTTCTTCAAGTTAACTTTTTCATCAAAAAAACAAAAAAACAAAAAAAAAAAAACTGTTTATATACATATACACTGCACATATACATAATATTATTTTCCCTTTAAATCCAACCTTTACCTTTCATGGGAATTTCATTCTCCTTTATTTCTTTCTCTTTTTTGTTTTGTTTTTGTTTTTGTATGGAATACACACACGTACATATACAATTCACACTCATCATATATATCTATATCCGTATACATACATGCACATACATACATATGCACACATACACGTACACATACTTATATATACATACTTATATATACATATATATACACCTATACATATACACAGGCCTATACGTACATATACATATACATACATATACATTCTTTAACACGATGCAATAATTACACTTTTGTTTTCTTAATTATTTAATTTTTTATATACTTTTTTCTCTTATATATAAAAAATAGAAAGAGACTTATTATATTGATAATTATACGGTATTATATTTTACCGTTCTCGATAGAAGAGCATGATGATAATTGTGTAATAATATTAATTATAATAATAATTATTTTTATCCTTTTTTTTAAATTTATATTGGCCTAGGCCTATTTTTTAATGTTTAATTTTTTTTTTTTAATGGTTTTAAATAGTGCGTATATGCACCAACTTCTACAATTTGAGTACAATATTATCTCATACAAGTTAAGTTCCCTTTTTGTTTAATATTTCTGTAATGTTGTTGTTTTGTTTTTGCTTTTTTTTTTTAACATTATAGGACGCATCTTTGTTTTTTTTTTGTTTTTTGTTTTTTTCAAAATGTGCCACTGCATGAGAAGTGTATGTCCAAATAAATAAATACAATTCCACCAATGTTTTCCCCTATTTGTTCTATTGGAATTTACAGGCTTTCTAAATAGTGTCAACAAGTTTTGATAACTGGTATCAAAGTTCTTGAGCGGAATTTACGTCGTCGAGTTTGACCTAATTAAATTCAGCAATTTTACCACCCAGATATTTAAAATATTGCTCACGGAAAATTTCATTTGTTGAACATAGAAAAGAGGAATGTCGTAACCAAAATTGTGTCAATATATTCCTGATGGCGGTAAAAATCGGACTCTGATAATTTATTACATTAGCTACATAGGCCTAATATTCGGACTCCAATATAAAAATACATCTTACAACTAATATTTTATTTCATCT